GGTGGAAGGTTATAGTGTCATTTTTAACCAGCGATGTCAAAGAAATACTGCCTACCCTGACTTTAACCACAAAAATACTCCATTTTGTACTTTCTTTCCTAATGGATTCATGGCTTCATCTAATACAAGCAAATGGGTGAACAAAGGTCCTAAATCAATAAAACAATGAGATTAATGAATGACGGCGTATTCAGTGAAGCGCCCATGTAAAGGAGCCTACCCCTGCTTGTAATTCTTGCACTATTAACAATTGATTGTTAGAGACTTCTGGCCAATCTGTTTACTCTTTTGACAAGAAAAGCATTCAATCATTTCGAGGGACGCACTGTGGCACTTTGAACACCGGTGCATTTAGCTTCCTCATGTTTAGAGCTGAGCATAAGTAGCATGACAGCGTTGTAGTACACGTCTTTTTTAGTGAGCTATTTTTTCCCCTCCCACTTCACCTGTGGACTCCCATCTTAAGTTTTTCGAGATGTATGTGGTTTTGCAAAAACTCCTTTAGAAATCCTGGTTAATGTTATTTTAGGAAGAGTTTTTAAGAGTGGCTTTTATAATAACAGACATGAAAAAAAAAATCTACTTACACACTTTTGAACACACAGTTGTAGAATGTATATACACACAAACACATTGATACATTAATCATTACATGTTCCAATTACTATTATTATTATTATTATCCTACTATTTTTGCCAACAGGCTTCAGCTAGATGTCCCATTTCCATTACATTTGTTGCATTACCTTTTATTATGTAAAAATATTTATCTGTAGTGCATCCTGTTATAATGAACAAACAAATAAAAAACAAATGCTGCTTTGTGAGCCCTACCTCTACGAGCTTCATCATAGGGACTGGGTTGAAGAAGTGAAGGCCGCCGAACCTGTCCAGCCTGTTGGTGGAGCTGGCGATGTCGGAGATGGGCAGGGAGGATGTGTTGCTGGCAAAGATGGTGTGTCTGAAGCAGTAAGTAACACATGATGAATACAGCAGTTAATAAAGCAGAACCGTGCCTTCCAGGTTTTTTTCTTTTTCATTGTCCTTTTAGAAGACCGCCACATTCTAATACATTTCCTATTCCCTCTCAAATGAGCACTTTAAAATAAAAAGGATTTGGAATTAAGTATAAATTCATCCAGTGAATTAAAATGCTGGTAACTGAACCAGAAACACGTTCTAGATGACATATAAACAGTAATAACAATTAGCATCTGGCTGGTATGAAGCCCTTGTTACACAGCACGTGTCCACTTCATAACATGTCTAGCAATTAAATCAGAAAGATAAATGTGCTTACGCTGGTGCCAGCTTGTCAAGGCGACTAAAAAGATCCTGTTTGATTTTGAGATTTTCCACAATAGCCTCCAACACGAGATCCGAGCTCTGAACT